GATCTTTTTTAGGCTCCACCTGCAACATACAGGAAAGAAAACACTTACGAGACTCAGATTGTGCTAAACTCTGTTTGTACAACTCTTTGGTTCACCTCTTGCAGGACATAGTTACACCAAAGATTGTAGAGCTAATCTAGTCTCTTACTAACCTACTGACTCTTACTGACTAATGGAGAATCAGGTGAAATGCTTTGTATTAGTATATTATGTGGTACTGACACTGAATACCTCAAGATGTCTACTTTGTGACAAAAACTAGCATTTTTCCCGCATTTGCTGACTAAATACCACATCAGGCAACCCTATGTGTTGGCTTCTACTGAAGGTAACCGAGTCATATCACAATACGGTGAAGCTAACATCTATTAGAAAGGGGTTATAGTAACCCCTTTTATGAAGCACTCCAATAATCTGCATGCATCCTCATGTCTGAAATTCTTGGCACCTGAACATGCCATGATGGGACATATCATGCTTCTCCCACATCCATCTTTGGGGAACATAGTCAAATTCAACCTAAACCACAGGCTTGAGAAGACATAAAAGGAGAGGACATTTAAGTCTACATGGATGAGATGTCTGTCACCTTCTGAGTGAAATTTATATACTGGTATCTAAAGCAGAACACTCTTGTCCAGAAGACAACCTGCCCCAACTCAAGGTCACTAACTGACATGGCAAGTGTGAGTGTTCTATTAAATCACCAATCTGACATGATTCCATTTCCTTCCCTTCCTAAATAAACTATTTAATGCTCATGATATACCTAATAGACTTTCCTTTTTCAAATGGGATAGCCATAAAAACAAGAGGGAATCATTCAAGTAACTTTTCTCTTACCTAAAGGAAAAAAGCTTCTTACCTTCATCGAGGACTTTGGGGACCCTTGGTCAACACTTGAGGAAGGTGTGGAAATTGGGTGCTGAGGTAGAACTAGAGGGAAAGAAAGTAACTGTCAGCTCATGGCACTACTTATTTACACAAGCATCTTTGACATGGATAAAAGTGTCCCGAGTCAGTATTTGTGATTAGAGTTAGCCTACCACTGGGCTGTCTTTCCTGATGGTAAGCATAGGCAAAGATTAGGAAAATAAAAAGCTTTTTTTCTTTCTTTTTTCTTTTGCTTTCTAGAGAATGGGAATATAAAGCAACAAAAGAGTCTAGGTTTCCATACATAACTACTAAATGCAGGTTTTAAAAACTTTATGCATGTATTCAGTTTGGGAGAAAGCACATCAGAGGGCAACTGTTAGTAGCTAGTTTCCCCTTTCCATTATGTGGGGGTCTGGGGTTAGAAGCAGAATATCAGGTCCAACGACAAGCACTTATACTATCAAGACATCTAACTCTCCCCATGAAAATAACTGTCATGATTAAAACACATATGACTATCGATCCCTGTAAGCGTTTTGAAGCCCAGAAGAACTGAAAAATCTCTTCATCATATCTCACAAGCATATTTCAACCTCCATCAGTTGATACACTCTCAGCTGCATTCATCAGAAAGAACATAGACTTTTAACTTTTTAACACATACATTTCAGTCTAAGGTACATTCTGTAACCTCACTGTTCCATTCATCCTTTGACAGTCAATAATTTACTGTCTCCTGGAAAACAATATGAAGTACCCTGTGCCTTGTTCCTCCTTCTGGTCTTACTTTACTGTCCTATGCACTTTTGTACTCATGTGTGTTGTGGCATCCAGAATAAAAAGAGAAGTGATGGGTAAGGGTGAGTATCTGGATCCTGCTGGCCATTCAAGTTCTTTAACTCAGCTCTAGGTAAGAGTTGCTCCAAGGGTAGTGCAGCCTCTAAAAATCGGATAGATATTCTGAGTACTTACATATGTCACTATCCCAGGGTGTGTGGGTCCCAAGGTCTCTGCACTTTTGAGGGTCACATTTGTATTCCCATCAGATAGCAATTAAAGATCTCCCCATTGTAGTTGGCTTTAGGCCAGGTGTGAGGAAGAAGGTCCCAACCCTAAGTATCTGTGAGCTGACTAGAAGTGCTGGTACTTCATTATAATGACTAGGATGAAATGTGACACTGATGTAGCAGCATCTATCCTGGGACAAAGTGACCATGGACTCTATGTCAGAAAGTAGATAATGCCTAGGACTTCTACAGACTTTGGACTTCCTGACACGTACACTGGAAACCTACAATCTTGGTTTATTTAACTTTTCACAAATATGAAAGTCTCTACATTTGGGCTTTGGCCAATTCATCAAGATAGCTGTAGTTCTCTGAAAGAGTGTCAGGATAAATAAACCACATAGCACTTGAAAACAGCAGAAAGAGTTAATACACCTTTTCAGAACCATGTTTCTACATGTACAGAAGTACGATTACCTCTGCATACTATTCTTTTTGTTCACCATATATGAACACTTTATACCCATTGATTACTGTAAATAGTTACTGACTCTCTAGCTAGTTCACCAGCCTGTAATCCACCTGATTCTCTACTATGTTTCTTGAAATAGTTATCACTTATTCAGGACAAAATAATCACTATATTGGATGATACCCAACACCAAAGAGATGTGGGTCACACTATTAGATATTTGTGGTATCTACAATTCAGGGTAAACCATAAATTATTTCAATTGTTCAATATGGAGTGTGTACACACTATAAAATTTCACACATATGGAAAAGATCTACACTTTAGTGAATAAAGTATACCTGGTAAGAAAATGACAGGGAATGTTTGTTAAAAATGAAAGTAGGCACACATTATAGTGTGAGATTTATCATGATTTATCCCCACTACTGTGAGGACATTCCAATTTTCTGAGATTAATAATTTCAACACAGAGAACCTAAGTTATTTCCTCTTATGTTTATGAAACAGTATTACAGTATTTATATATAGGGATGTCTGTGAAGCACAGTCTTGAGGGAGGAAATGCAAACATACATAGGCACATGTATACATACAAACACACACATTAAATGCTAAAGTCAAAATACTTCATATAATATGTAATAAAACATAATTCTAGCCGGGCACTGGTGGCGCATGCCTTTAATCCCAGCACTTGGCAGGCAGAGGCAGGTGGATTTCTGAGTTCGAGGCCAGCCTGATCTACAGAGTTCCAGGACAGCCAAGGATACACAGAGAAACCCTGTCTCGAAAAAGAAAACAACAACAACAAAAAAGAAACAAAAAAGTATAATTCTAATAATACAGCAGTTATAAGTATTTAAACAAGATATTTTGAGAAATATTAAGCAGTCTAGTTGAAGAAAAAGCACCAAATGGATAGTAATATCATACCTCGGGTGTCACAACAGTTCCCCATTACGCAAATTCCATACTACTATCGCTCTGTATATACATGTGTACTCTGGACAAACTCTCAAAGCATACTGGCAATCAGCACTCAGGCCTGAGTATAACTAAATACAGGTCAGCCATAAGTCACACAACTTGCATAGTGAGCTCATAAGCCATACCTGGATGTCCAACATCTGCTACTTAGGCAAGTCTGTTCATAAAAGTTCAGGAGTACAGTGTGGGTTGCTGAAAATGCCAGTGTTCTGTATCTAAGAATTACCAGCTACAAAGTTAATATCTGTCTTATCTGTTTATATTATTCTGAAGAACCCTGTCTAAATGCCTTCTTCATTGAGCTCTTGCTGTCTCTTGCTCTCTCCCTCTCTCTTTTTTGTTTGTTTAACCTATTGGGCTATCCAATAGTATTATATATATAATTATATGTGTATGTATATATGTGTGTGCATATATATATATATATATATATATATATATATATATATATATATACAAAACTATTATATGCTTTTTAATATAATTAATTTTTACTAAATATGTTACAGTCAATTCATCATTGCTACTTCACAAAAGAATCAATTGATTTTCATTTCCAATTCAGTGAGTCTTGCTCAAAAGTCCTGTGTAAACAAGATATCTTCAGTTACCCTTCAGTGTTTGTGTGTAGCCAGGTGTGGTGGCACATGCCTGTAATCCCAACTCTCAGGAGCTGGAGGCAAGAAGATCAAAGTTGCAATCTTGTACAGGTCTTGTGTAGGCCATCAGAGCTGCTGTGACCTCATGAATGCAAGCCATGCCGCTCCTGGAAGACTGCCGTACAACACTCCCTTCTTTCTTCTGCTTCTCACATTATTTCCATCCCCTTCATTCATGGCGTTGCTCAAGCCTTGGGAAGAATGATATAGATGCCTGATTTAGGGCTCAGAATTCAACAGTCATTTATTTTCTTCACTCTGACCAAGTAAGAGTCCACATTAATCACTGTCCAGAATAGAAAGAATTTTCATTGACCAAAACAGAAAGCAGTAGTGAGAGCATCGAATTCCCTCGAGCTGGAGTTGCAGACAGTTCAAACCCATGTTCTGTCCTCTGGAGGAGCAACTAGTACTCTTAACCACTGAGACGCCTCTCTGGTTTTTGCCCTGGTTTCTTCAACAACCCATTCATTATCCAACAGTGTGTCCAGTCGTCACAAGTTTTTACATGTTCTATATTTCCTATGGCTACTTATTTGTAATTTTATTCTATTGTGGTCAGAGAGAATACAAGAAATATATTTTACTTTTCCTATATAAGTTAAGACTTTCCTTATGTCCTCTTATACAATCTATATTTAAAAAAAAATCTCCATTGGCTGTTGAAAAGAATTCTAATGTATTTGTGTGGGATGTTCTGTAGATGTCTGTTAAGTCCTTTTGATTTACAATGCCATTTAACCTCAGATCTCTCTTTCTTTCTCTCTCTCTCTCTCTCTCTCTCTCTCTCTCTCTCTCTCTCTCTCTCCCTCTATCCCTCTCTCTCTCTCGCCACTGTGATCTGTCACTGGGTGAGAATGGGGTGTTGTAGTCATCTATTATTGTTCTGGGCTCAATCTGTGACTTTTTTTATTGGATATTTTATTTACATTTCATATGTTGTCCCCTTACCCCATCCCCCACCCATCCAGGAACCCCCTATCCCCTCACCCCTCCTCCTGCTTCTCTGCAGATGTACCCCTACCTACCCCCCCACTCCCACCTCCCCACCCTAAAATTCCCACCCCCTGGGGTGTCCAGCCTTCATGAGGCCAAGGATCTCTTCTCTCACCTATGCCCAGCAGGACCCTCCGCTCTTACATATACAGCTGAAGCCATGGGTCCCTCCCTAAGTGCTCCCAGGCTGGTTGTTTAGACCCTGGGAGCTGTGGTTGGTTGGTATTGTTGCTCTCCTCTTGGGGCCACAAACCCTTTCAGCTCCAATGGTATTCACTCTAACTCCTCCATTGGGAACCCCATGATCAGTTCAATGTCTAGTTGTGAGCATCTGCCTCTGAATATGTCAGACTCTTGCAGACCTCTGAGGAGACATCCATATCAGGCTCTTATCAGCATGCACTTCCTGACTTCCACATCAGCATCTACCTTTGGTGACTGCACATGGAATAGATACTCAGGTGGAGTGGTCTTCAGACAGCCCCTCCTTCAGTTTCTGTCCCTCACTTTGTCTCCATATTTGCTCCCTTGATTATTTTGTTGCTCCTTCTAAGAAGGACCGAAGCACCCTCACTTGTTCTTCCTTCTTCACGAGGTTCATGTGGCCTTTGAGTTGAATCTTGGGCAGATGGATAAGGGTAGCTGCCACAATGGCCTTCCTTCCCTCCCCTGAGGCTTTATAGGCAGCTAATGCTTGTATGGTCCATGCTCTTATAAATAACTCCTCTCCTTATAAATTTAACTGCTCATGTAAGAAAGCTTAGTTTAACTCATGGGTTACACACACAGATTCACACATGCACATGCACACACACATGCACACACACCATGAAAGTAGCAGGGTAAGAGGAAAAGGATCAACAAAGGATGGAAGAGGGACGAAACAAATTAACTGGGAGTATGAACAAAATGCATTAAACAACATGTATGGAAATCATCATTATATATGATTGATACTTGCTAATAAAAAAATTTAATTATTAACTAATTTTTAAAAAGTAGATCAAAGTTCAGTGTTGTCCTTGCTACATAGGAAGTAGGAACAATGTGAAACCCTGCTTTAAAGAGAAATAATGCCCATATTGGTGGCATGTACAATCACTTCCTAGGCAGAGAGGGACAGGTGCCAGCCTGAGGTACCATAGCGAATCCCTGTTTCAAAGAAATATTTTTTAGGCAATAAAGGGATGCTATGACCAAAGGACTTGAGAATATCTACAGTGCAATAAACTAGTCTCTAGCTCAGCAAATACATAAAAAATACACACCAATTCCACTTCCCTACCACCTATATCCACAGTAATCAAAGTAGTCAACGTCTGCTTCACGTCGAAGGTAGAGAAGGACAACTGCTTAATGAAGAGCGGACTAGCAAAGCTCACCGATGCACGCTGCATAATCTCTTACAGCTGTACACATCCCTCCAGGATGTACCCTGGAACGGCAAAAGATATAAATATGATGTACAATGATCAAGACCACAGTCCTTCTATAACACATGTTAAACCTAAGAAGAGCACAGAAATATAATACAATATCTAGTAATCGAAATCTCAGAATTGATTACTCATATGCTAAGTATTAATTACAGATCTCTGTGTTCTGGTTAATATTATCAACTTCATAGGATTTTGAATAACCATGAACATGAGCTTCTGGGCAGCTCTGTGAGGATCATCTAGATCAGACTAACTGACAAGATAATAAAATACTGATCTGACATATACACACAAAACAAAAACAAAACCAAAATATTTATGGCGGGATGTGAAAAGATCTCTAAGACGATTAGATTGGAGGGGGAGTAAGAAGCAGAGGTGGCCACATACAGACAAGGATCAGTATACCAGCATAGAGCACACGTGTGTTGCTGTCCACATGAACAGTCTATGTTTTTACATTGTGAAACTGAATTATATTGCTTCTTCAACGTGTTTGTTTGTTTGTTTGTTTGTTTGTTTGTTTGAGACAGGGTCTCCTATAGCCCAGCTGGTTACAAAGAGCTTAGATCACAGGCATGTGCCAATATGCCAACATGGGTATCCTTCCCAGGCACCTGGGGCCAAGCAACCATGGAGAGAGTTTTCTGAGACCAGGAACAAAGTGAGTCCTTCCCGCCTCTTTGATAATTCTAACAGGTATTTGGTCACAGTAACAGAGCTGACTCATCTTCCAGGCTGGTGGCAAATGCAGTTAACCTGAACATAGCAGAGAAAAGAGAAATATTCCTTCTGATTAATCTCACCAAGAGCAGTCATGTTCTCAAAAGCCTTTAAACAGAAAACAAAATCCTTAAAACTCAAAATGAACTCTACAAGATCTCCCGAATGAACTAAGGTATTCATTCATGCTGCGCAACCCTGACACCTAGTGGTGAAAGTAGGATGTACACACTGATGGAACCAGCACTGTGGTATATAGAAGAATCTGACACTAAGTCCCTGTGATCTTATCCTAAAGGTTCATTGCTAAGGCCGCTTTTCATTTTCATTTATATATACATATATATAAATGTATACACATATATATTTATATATATGTATATAGACATATATACATATGCTTATATATATGTTCATATATACATATTATATATATGCATTATATATTATATTGTATAAATATATGAATAATAAAAATATATATTATCATATATATGTACATTTATCTAAGTGGTGGAGCTTGTCATTAATTCCAGCGTTCTATATGCAGAGGATATGCTCAAGTTCAAGAACAGACTGGATTACAAAGCAAGTTCCAGGGCTACATAGTGAAACCCTATCTCTAAATTAATAAATGATTTTTTTAAAAAATAAAAATAAACCACATTAACAATGTTCCATGCACAGAACTGTTTTAATAATTAAACAAAAGAAGTATTAATGCCTGATATCTAAGTGTTTAATAAATATTAGGTCTTGATAGTCCTTATTGCTCAAGACACCATGAACTTCAGTCGCTCCTGAACTGGAATTGACCTGAAAGCTCCCAACCTGAGGACTAATTTTCAAGGTACAAGAAGGTGCCATGCCAGCTTCCAAAGGGGAAAGAAATATATATATATATACATATACATATATATGTATATATATATGAAATATATATATATATATAAAACCTTTAACTTGTACCCCTTTTTTCTCTTATTTCTATATGCTGGAATGGCATATGAATGACATAACACCTAGCTTTCTATCAGGTGTTTTTAAATAACTCAAAGGCCTCCCAGAAAGAGTGCCTAATAAACTATGGAACTTTCAGATAAAGTACAGTGAGGGAGTTGGAAAAGTGTAAGCTCCACACCATGGACAGCAGAACATCTCACATAGAGTGGCTAAATGAATATATTTCAGAGAGGAAGGAAGGACAAAAGAGAAAGGGAGGGGACTGGTTCTGTGTACTCTTTAAGATAAACATTGCTAAATGGAAAGCATACAGAATCTAGCCCATTATGCTGTCTAAAGATTAGCATGGCACAACTCTTTGTTCTGCATGTGACCTCTGGAAAGCCACGTAAGAACTGAGAGTGCGATTGCTTGAAGGAAGGAACATGGGAACCCAAGCATAGGAATGTAGCTCTAGCATACTAAGCAACATTCATATTAAGAATGTCATCGTGACATTTCTGACTGTGAGGAAAGAAAGGTCCCAAGCCATCTTGGGTGGAAAGCATAACTTGGTGAACCATATCTGAACCATATCTTTTTAGCATATAAAAAGTAAAGGCGTGAGGATTCGGAATTCAAGATTACCTGGGTTTCTTGAGACTCTCTCAACAAAACCAAAGACAGGAAAGGAGACATTCTGGCAGAAGAGGGGTGTCCTAGTTTTGTTTCTAGTACTGGGAAAAAACACTGGCCAAAGTGTAGCCAGTATAGACTTTTGGTCACTTTGTGGGTTCTCTTTTTCCCCACCCTTCCAATCCGCTTACACTAGACAGGAGAGAAAAAGGATACAAGGGAAAGGGGGCACGGCTATCTTTAGACTACTTCCTGCTGATTCGGGGCATCAAGTTCCTTGTGGCAAGTTAGACCTTCACCATCAAAATATCTAATTTCTTTCTAGCTTCTTCTTTGCATATAACTACAGAACAAACAGCAACCTACCAACAACACACACAGCCTTTGGCACTTATATATCCTCTGAAAAGTCCCAGAATTCCAAACACCCCACACTCGAACAAACTATCAGCAGCTGGCAAAACCACACCCTGCTAGAGCATGAAGCAAATCATAGTCAGCTGCTGTGGACAATCTAAAGCAGCCCCATATCCCAGACCTGGATATGTTTTGTTTAAAACAAAAACAAATTCCCATAATATTTCTGTGCTTTTTGTGTCTCATTACACCAAAGAAACACGAGAAGAAAGAGTTTATTTGACTTATGTATCCTGGGTCACGATCCATTGAGGGAAGCTAAGGCAGTAACTCCTCCAGAGCAGGATCTAGAAGCAAGAACTGAGCCCATGGAGGGATGCTGCTTACTCATAGGTTCATCGTGGCTTGCTCAGCCTACCTTCTTATATCACCCATGACTGCCTTCCCACAGGTGGCACTGCCCCAGTGACCCTTCCACCTCAACCATTAATCAACAAACTACAGACTTGCTTACAGGCTACGACAATGGGGACATTTTCTCAATTGCGGTTCCTCTTTCTGGAGGAACTCTAGCTTTTGTTAAATTTACAAATAAGCAACAAGGCCAGGAAGCAAATATACAAAAATCAAAAACCAAGACGACCAATGATTGTTCAGTTTAAATTAAGTTAATTTATATCTCAGACTTATATTCAGCCAAACCTGCAAACTAGCATGGAGGTAAAAAAAAAAAATCAGACATCTAAGGGCTCTGTATATTATGTAGTGTTGTGTGATAATTTCCCCTAACACCTAGCATTTTATTTTTTTATTTTTTGAAATTTTGTTTTGTTTTAGTCATAGGATCTTTTAAAAGTCATATTGTCTTGTAATGCATGCATATATGTGTAATGGCTGGTTGTCAACTTGACTATATTTAGAATCAACTACAATCCAGAATTGGAGGGCTCATCTGTGATCCAGATCTAGAGGCTAAAAGACACAAGTTTCTGACCTGAATCTTGGCATGCAGATATTGAGGCATAGCGGCCATAAAAAGTTTAGGCCCAGACAAGGTAGTACACGCCTTTAATCCCAGAAGGCTGAGGTAAGGACATCTCTGAGTTCAAGGCCAGCCTGGGACAAAGCAAGTTCCAGACTGGGGCACCTTTAATCTGGGCCACACCTGCTGGAGGTCTACATAAGGACATTGGAAGAAGGAAGATTCACTCTTCTTTGACTGCTTGCACTTACTTGCCAGCACATCTTTGGAACCTACTTCTACAGAAGACCAGCTGAAACAACTAGCCTCGTGGGACTGAGCAACTACTAAATTCTTAGACTTCTCATTCACAGCTGCCCATTGTTGGATTAGTTGGACTATAGACTGTAAGTCATCACAATCAATTGCCTCAAAATAGTGAAATACTCCAAAAGTTCTGTGACTGTAGTGATCACTGACTAATACAATGTTTTTAATCAAATCCACCCCTCATTTCTTCCCCTCCAATTTCTCCCCATCACATAGCTGTAGCATCTTACACTGTAACCCTCGATGGCTTTGGAATTCATTAACCTCACTCCATGAGTCTCTGTGGTTGCAGATACAGTTCAATTCCTAGAACACTTATCTAATACAAACAAGGTCCTGCTATGTTATTGCATGACTATTATTCCAGCACTCCAGAAGTAGAAGCAGGAATATCAGGAGTTCCAGACCATTCTCTACTACACAGCAAAGAGGGGGTGGTGGGTATTTCATAAGGGGGTCCTAGACATCCTATATCATAGTTTCAGGTCAGTAGGAAATATCAATTTAAAATTTAATGAAAGTATAAGTAGGATATTTAGATATATAGTAGCATATGTCAGCTAAAGACCTAGAAGATTTGAACCGAGGGCTAATAGAAATTTAACTTCTAACAGTCTAGCAGTAAAATAGAGCCGGAAGAGCAGGTCAGCTAGCTCTGAGGTTTTGTGTTCCAGAACCCTGGCTGACTACAAGATAGATGGTAGATGATATGGTTGAATAAGGTTGAGTCCTTATGAACAGGATGTTTTCCCCCTGCTGTGACCATTTCTTGAACCCTGTTACACCTGTCATATGCTGAATTGTATAGACTGAATAATGAGTTGGGACTTTCCATTGTATTGTCTGCTGGAGTTCTCCAGCGACCCACCTCCCTTTATGGTATGTGGTTTTCTCCTTTAAATATCCTATACTCCCCTCACTAGGGGTCAAGCTCCTCTGTCCCTGTGAGGGTAATGGGACTTGGCCTCAGTGCGCTGATTGAAATATACCTCTTGCTGATTGCAACAATATTGGTGTCTCATGAGTCATTTGGGGGGCCGTGATCTCTCATGGCTTGAGTTGGGGATCTCACCTCCCCAAGAGGCCTTTCATTTTGGTGCATTAATCAGGAAATTGTGACCACCCTAGACTTCGAGAACCCACTTAGAGGTAGGATTTCACTTACTTTGTTCTGTCTTTGTGGGCCCGTCTGCTTATCTGATTACTTGGTTTCTGAAAAGTGCACTTTCAGTTTACAGCCGTTTGTTTCTGGAGGAAGCGAAGGGAGTGACTGGCAGACGTGCTGTGGCCCTGGGAGGCATCCCAGGAGATGGTTAGGGACCCCAGGGACACCTGGGTGACTCCCATCTAGAGGCTTAGGAGGATACAGTGGTCCTGGTAGAGCTAAGGACCTCTGTAAATTCCCAGCCGTCTGTTTTTCTAGAGTGGTGTTGACACTTGTGATAGAGACTATTAATCTCTTTATATATTTGTTTTGTCTGTGTTTGGTGTTACTCATGGTAGGGACAACAGACTGTGTACTGTGTATATGAGGTTTCTGTGCTCATGACAGGAGTGGGAACTGGACAAGCCACGGAGAACATTTTGCGACCCTGAGATAGGGTCAGAGACCCTGGACTGCCACCTGGGGTGGCATCTGTTGAAGCTTTTGTGGCTATGTGTCCGTGTCTAATTCTGTGTTGTTCGTTGCCGGTAATGTTATAAATCTGTTAAATTAGGTCAAGCTTAGGCTGGCCACATAGTCTGGTTATTAGATTTTTCCACTGACAGTTTTTTATGTCTTGATTGTATAACCTGGTTTCTGCACCTGTGACAGGTGTGAAAACTGTCTGTATCATATGGTTTATACACCGCCCGTGACAGGGGTGAACTGACTGTGTTGTTCTTCTCTGTTTTCTTGGTGAACTGTCTGTGTGTTGGTTGTCGGACTTTGACTGATGTTATTTTAGACTAAATCTACTGTGTTAAACATCTTGAGTTAAAAAGAGGTAACATGGCCACCAGCAGAGAAAAATAGAGCCACTGGTACAAGAGATCTGCTGCAGAACAGAGAGGCAGGTCCTTTGACAAGTGGGCACTGCAGCCCGGGCAGCCCACCCACCACACATAGAGTGTTCTCCAGGAGACACTGCACAGGGTGTGGGGGGCACCCTCACCTTGCCAGCATTTGGTGAGCAACTCCCCTAGTGCAGGCCCCAGCCCCAGCCACAGCCCCAGTTCCGCCCCCTGCTCCCCAGGATACAGAGCAGGGAGGGATTGGCCTTTTACCTCTGAACTAACCATCCCCCTTTTTTTCTGAGAATACAGCCAGCCTAACAGGCCTGATAGGGTCTTTGATATTTCCCCACCAGCCCACCTGGGATGATTTCCAGCAACTTTTACAGGTTCTTTTCACTACAGGAGAACAAGAGAGGATCCTGTTAGAAGCCCCTGAAAATGGAACTCAGATAGAGAGAGACTGACAGTCTACCACCAGGCTCTAGTAGCAGGTCTCTAAAGGACAGCCATAAGTCCCAATTTGGCCAAGGTGAGAAGAGTACTAAAAGGGAGACAGGTGAGATCATAAACAAGACAGAGATAAGACAAGATTTAGATAGAGGGACGAAGCTGAGCAGAAAAAAAGAGAGTAAAAGAAAAGAGATACAGCAACACCTACTGGACAAAGACTATGAAGAGACAAGTGTCCCATTCCTTCCTGGTTATTCCTAAATGCCCTTTGCCTTTGTTAGAAAGAGACTTATGGACAATGTTAAAGACACAGATTAAGTTTGCTCAGATAGGACCAAAGGTAACCTGGGAGCCCCCACCTTTATGATACTGACCTTGAACCTAGAAGAAGAATACAGGCTTCATGAGCCACAGAAGCAATAGGAAGCCTGAGATATTGTTGAATGGCTAACAGAATTTCCAAAAACTTAAGACTAAAACTAGAAATATGGAGGTAACAGAAAGAGTTCCCCCCACACACATCGTGGTGAGACTGAAAGCCATGGCTTCCATGGTATTATTTGTCAAAGATGTTCACGTGACACACTATCAGAGTCTGTTGCTGACTGAAAGGGTAACCTTTGCCACCACCACTCCCCCAGCCATCCTAAATCCTGTCACCTTGCTGCCTGAGACTGATGACTCCTTTCCCATCCACTGCTGTGTTGACATCCTGACAGAAGAAACAGGTACCCGAGGTGACCGGAAAGACCAGCCCTGGCCAGGAAGTCCGAACTGGTACACAGATGACAGCAACTTTGTGGTTGAAGATAATCTGATGGCAGGAGCTACGGTGATAGATGGAGAACAAGTAATCTAGGTGAACAGCCTGCCAGAAAGAACTTCCGCTCAAAGGACAGAACTTATTACTCTGATAGACAAAGGAGACTGCTGACATCTAGAGGCTAAGACATCAAAAAAAAAAGAGAGTGGCCATTGTCCACTGCCCTGGATACCAAAAAATTAGATGGCAGATTTAATTGCCAAAAGAGCTGTCCAAGAAACAATGATTCTGACAGCCAAGGGTTCCAGAGACTATTTTGACACTTGAGATACCAGTTTCAGGTACACTGCTGATGATTATCAAATGATAAACAAATTAGACTTTCATTCTGAGACCCCTTATGGGGTAGTCGAATCCAAAGACGATAAATTAATCCTCCCATAAGAAGAAGATAAGAACCTACACTATCTGGATCATCTGGGATCCAATGTGATAAGATCCTCTGAACTGTCTGACTTAGCGGTTTAGTTTCTATAGACACCTTTTCAAGATGGGTCAAAGCCTTCCCCACTAAAAATGAGATTGCCAACATGGTGGCCAGGAAGATTATGAAAGAAATTTTTCCCAGGTTTAGAATACCCAAGGTAATTGGGTCTGACGATAGACCGGCCTTTGTTGCCCAGGGGAGTCAGAGATTGGCCTCACAGCTGGAAATTAATTAGAAATTACATTGTGCTTACAGACCCTAGAGCTCAGGACAGGTAGAGAAGATAAATAGAACCATTAAAGAGACCTTAACCAAATTAACATTGGAGACTAGTGATAATGACTGGACAGCCCTCCTTCCTTATGCCTTGTTCCTCGTTTGGAACACTCCAGGGTGATTTAAGCTTACATCCTTTGAGATTCTGTGTGGGAGACCACTGCCACTTACTGAGACAGGCGGAGTATACAATCCTGACGCTGTTCTTTCTAAATCCTTGTTCATCCACATGAAATCACTTGAGGTGGTCCGGGGTGAGGTCTGGGAACACCTGAAGGGGGCCTACGAGACCGCAGACCAGAGGGTGCCACACCAGTTTCAAGTGAGAAGATGCTGTCCTGGTCAGGCGTCACCGAACTGGTAACCTTGAGATGTGTTGGAAAAGACCATACCTGGTGCTCCTAAAAAGTAGAAGGCATTTCTACTTAGATTCACACCTCCCTCATGAAGAGAGCTCCTGAGCCATCTGAAGATAAATGGGAACTGAAAAAGATTGCTGATCCTCTTAAGCTGTCCCTACGCCACAGGCACCCTTCAGGTGATAGATAACAATCCCCATGCCCCCCCCCCCGAAACTGACCTGACAGGTCTTATCACAGACTAGACATGTAGTTTAGAGTATCCAAGAGATACAGCCCCCATACACCTGGTGGCTTGCTCTGGAACCTGACTTTTGCCAGCTGGCTGCCAGTCTTGAACACTGAGATATTCTCTGACTGACCTACACTCAACCTGAACAACTAGGACCCAAGAACGCCTATAGAGATTCTATGCAGATTCCCTAGATAGAGCAGCCAAGATGCTCCTACCTTGGAGTACATGCCGAGATTGCTGACACCCCCTTTTTATATGTGTCCCCGAGATAAAAGAGATTTGAACAAAGTAAGAACATGTGGGGGGCTACAGTCATTTTACTATAAAGAATAGAGATGTGAAACAGGGGGTACAGTATACTAGATACACCCTGGCCCTACTTGAGACTATATCTTTGTAAGAAAAAAGGGCCACTCTGATGATATGACTAACCTCCCTACAGAGATGTAAAAAATCCAGATGGTGTAATCCACTCAACATCACTTTTACAAAGAAAGAAAAAGAATACTGAGGTTGGGTGAAGGAAAGACAGTGGGGCCTGAAATTTTATGTGACTGGACCAGACCCTGAGATAGTATTTACCATTAGGCTCAAAATAAAGAGCCTCCCAGCTCAGTCAATAGGCCCTAATAAAGTGTTACCTGAACAGTGCCTCCTGGCCCCTGTCCCACCTCTGCCCGAGAAAGATCCTAATACTACAAAAGCTTCTGTACCTGGTAGCTTGCCGGAGCCGGGAAACACTCCTCCGTTGCCCCAACCATCAACAGGACAGAGGTTGTTTAACTTAATCCAGGGGGCTTTTACTGTACTTAATGGATCCAATCCTAATATGACAGACTCTTATTGGCTTTGCCTCGCCTCAAGACCCCCTTATTATGAAAATATTACAACACCTGGAACATTCAATAATACCACTAGCCATGATGCTTGTACCTGAGACAGTAAGAAAAAACTGACACTTACTGAGGTCTCGGGAAGAGGAACCTATATAAAAAACTCACTGGCTACTTATAAACATCTATGTAATGAGACTCTTAAGAGCCTAAGAACCTCTGGTAGTAGATATTTAGTGCCTGAGATAGATAAATAGTGGACTTGTAGTTCAAGATTAACCCCTTACGTGTCAACTTCTGCCTTTAATGATGCCAAAGACTATTGTGTACTTATACAGCTGGTCCCCCGGGTCTATTTTCACTCAGCTAATACCACTGAAGATGACTTTGATGTACTCCTGAGGCGTTTTCAGAGAGAGCCTATCTCCTTGACTTTGGCTGTTATCCTAGAACTAGAGGTAGCAGCAGGCATGGGGACAGAAACTGCTGCCCTAGTACAGACCCCTCAGTACTTCTATCAATTGAGACCAACTATAAATGAAGACCTGAAGACACTAAAACGGTCCATATTTAAGCTTGAGGAGTCCTTAATTTCCCTATCAAAGGTAATCTTAGAAAATAGAAAGAGATTAGATTTGCTGTTTTTAAAAGACGAAGGGCTTTGTGCCACCCTCAGAGAAGAATGCTGCTTTTATGTTGAGGGGTAACTAGAGACTCCATAAGTAAATTGAGAGAGAGGCTAGATAAGAGACAGGGAGACAGAGAAACTCAACAGAGATGGTTTGAAAGCTGGTTTAAAAAGTCACCATAGATGACTACTCTGATATCTTCCATTATGAGACCTCTTTTGATTTTGTTCCTACTTCTAACTATAGGTCCATTTATTTTAAGTAGATTAGTCACCTTTGTTAGAGAAAAAAATAAGTGCTGTTCGGATTTTGATGCTATGCCAACAATACTATACAGGGTCAAGAAAATCTAAGATATGAAGATACTGAAAATTAGTTCTAAGATTAGAACTTTGTACACAGAGAAAATGGGAAAATGAAGGGTTAATAGAAATTTCACTTCTAACAGTCTAGCAGTAAAATAGAGCCAGGAGAGCAGGTCAGCTAGCTCTGAGGCTTTGTGTTCCAGAACCCTGGCTAACTACAAGATAGATGGTAGATGATATGGTTGAATAAGGTTGGGTCCTTATGAACAGGATGTTCCCCCCTGCTGTGACCATTTCTTGAACCCTGTTACACCTGTCATATGCTGAATTGTATAGACTGAATAATGAGTTGGGACTTTCCATTGTATTGTCTGCTGGAGTTCTCCAGCGACCCACCTCCCTTTCTGGTATGTGGTTTTCTCCTTTAAATATCCTATACTCCCCTCACTAGGGGTCAAGCTCCTCTGTCCCTGTGTGGGTAATGGGACTTGGCCTCAGTGCGCTGATTGAAATATACCTCTTGCTGATTGCAACAAGATTGGTGTCTCATGAGTCATTTGGGTGGCTCTAATCTCTTGTGGCTTGAGTTGGGGTCTTGCCTCCCAAGGGGGCCTTTCAGAACATGTCTTGAGAAAGGGAATCTTGGGTAGGAAAAGCAGTAAAAGGACAGACTGATGGTTTTCTTCTACTTTATGGAACTATTTGATTTTATTAGTTGAGATATATATATATATATATATATATATATATATATATGTGATTAAGTTATTTAAAAAGACTTACTTTTATTCCATATGCACAAGTGTCTTGCTTGCATGTGTGTGTCAATGTTTCACATAAGGGCAGTGACTGAGAAAGGCAGACCAGACTTCAGATTCCCTGGCACTGGAGTTATAGGTGGTTCTGTTGGACTCTAAGATCCAAGCCAGGGGACATGCTCCTGCAGAAACACACATGAAAAGGGGATTTTCTGCAAAAACTTGAGGTTTAATGATAATAATAACCAGTGTACTGGAGTTCCCTCACAAACAGGCAAGAAGAACCCCGAGCTAAAGCTGAGAGCAGTTTTTATACAGTTTAAGTGGTGGTCTAGATAAACAGTGATTAGGCACAATATGATTGGCAGAACAGTGTGACTCTCGGACTTGTTGGGGTCCATCCCCCCTTTTCGTCAGGCAATCTCTTGCCCAGTGCCCTTTTTTATTGCAATAAGCACACTGATCCTTATCTAAAGGCCTCTTTGAATTGCCCGGTACTCTCACCTTGCTCTCAAATTTCCCTAACTACTGTGGCCAAAATTCTAGTCAAGTTCTTTTCCTGTCTTTTTTCCTTCTTCAGTTCCCTAGATTCCTCCTCTTTCTGGATGCTCTCTTCTTTTTTCCTCCTCAGTCTCTCTGCTATAGAATACCCTTTCATCTACCTGCACCAAATCTTTCAAAGACTTGTCCTGTAATCTATCTAACTTCTGCAGCTTTTTCTTAATATCACTGGCCGATTGACCAATAAAGGCTACTGTCACTGTTGCTTTATGCTCATCAGACGTAGTGTCATAGGACATGAACTAGCAGAAAGTCAACATCAGCCGTTCTAAGAAGGCTGAAGGTGATTTAGTAGGTCCTTGGAACGTTTCTCTTACCTTAGTCAAACTAGTGGAGCGCCGTGCAGCCTTGCTGGAGACCTGCCATTAGAGTCTGGAGGTAGACCTTCGGATGGTCCCTACCGTCAGGCGTGCTGAAGTCCAAATTGGGTCTGGTCTGCGGGAACCCAGCATCTATCTCAATGGCGAGTTTAAAAGCAGTGGGGGAGGGGCCTGCCATGCCATGCAGAGGCTGTTCTGCCACGTGGTACCTGGGTGTTCCAGCAGAGTGGTCCTCTGTATTCACCGTTTCCTTTAAAAAAAAAAAAAAAAAAGCCGGTAAATCCTAAATGTAGAAAAGGAGAGGAAAGGCCAACTTTGAAGAAAAAGTTAGAGGAAGAAACATAGAGGCTTGGTAGGAGAGTCAGAGTCAGAAGGAGTGAGATTTTGAATCATGGAAAAGAGACCAGTGGAGGATGGCTTGGAGCTGGAAGCTTTTGGGAGCAGTTTTTCCAGGCCCAGCTTAGAGTTCTCAGCCAAGAGAAAGAAAACTGTCTCAAAACAAAAAGGAAAATATTTCACTCAAGTGGAGAAGTCCTACAGTGAGAGTCTTAGGAACACAGGGGCGATGGTAGGAAGCATGGTCCCAGACCCACTACTTCAAGCAAGCTTGCTGGACTGTAGCTGGCTGCAAATGACCAAGGAGGAGGGGAAGAAGCCTATGCTAGCAGGCAACAACTCGAAAGACTGACCCCTGGAAGAGATACACTAGAAAAAGAGAGAAAGACTGAATTTGGCACTCCTGAGAGCTCAAAATGAAAGGGGAATCTCTCACCCAAGGAAAAAGAGTCTTAGAACGAGTGTCTCGACAGGTGCTGTGGCCTAAAAGACAGCAGTTAGCTGAGAAGGACTCCTCTCTGTGGAGCTGGGGGATGAGCAAAGTGGAGGCTAGGGAGTCGCCACCATCTTGGCCTTGCTAGTGGTCAAGAGTAAAAGAGAGAGGGGTAGAGACTATCTGTCCCATGATAGGTAACACAGTAGATTCAGTCCAAAATAATATCAATCAAAGTCCAAGAACACAAAGAACAACAACCAACACACAGAGAGTTCGCCAAGAAAATAGAGAAAAACAGACAGCTCACCCCTGTCATGGTTTCATAAACCAAGTTATACAGACAATTAAGACATAAAAAAAAACTGCAGGTGGAAGAATCCAGTAACCAGGTGACTTGGCCAGCTTATACTGGACCAAATCTAACAGATTCTAAAAGGAGCAGGGTCCTCACGACCCCCTCCAACACCACAAGCAATGAACAACACAAGCAAAATACACAAACAAAATCAGACAGGGACATCCGACATGAGACTGCCACAAGAGAGCAACAGACAATGCCCCAGACAGCAATGGCTGCGAAATCCATACAAACTCTGGAACATCCTCCAAAGTCTTGTGGCCTTCAGCATTGGGTACATCTACCCCCCTCACCTCACTCCCATTACAACAAATTCCATCTTGGAACTTGGGACCTGACCCTATCCCAGGGTCACAAACAGACTGTTCTCCATGGCTTGCCCAGTTCTTGCCCCTGCCACAGGCACAGAAACCAGGCTATCCACTTCACAAACACAAAACAGAAAGCACACAAACCTGCCCGAGCGGATCTCTGATCCCTGAGCCACAGAGCCTGAGAGAGCACGAATCTCAGTGGAACCTCAAAATGTTGGACTCTAAGATCCAAAACAGGGGGCATGCTCCCACAGAAACACACACGGACAGGGGATTTGCTGCACTAAACCAGCCAGTACACTTGTTTTCAAAATTCCAGAACTGCATGTGCCTGTGACTTTGTGACTGCATGATTGTGTTTGTATGTGTGCGTGAGTGTGTGTGTGTGTGTGTGTGTGTGTACTCGCTCATGTGCAGAATCTTGAGTGTTGTAGCAGGGAGCCAACCCCAAGGATCCATTGGCCTACAAGTTCACATCACCATACCCAGCTTTTCACATGGGTTTTCAGGATCCAGTTCAGGTCCTCAAGCTTATATAGCAAATGTTTTACCAACTGAGCTTTTTTTTGCATCCCAGTTGCTGCCTGCCTCCCTTCCTCTCTCCCTCCCTCCTTCTCTCCCTCCCTCCCTCCCTCCCTCCCTTCCTCCCTCCCTCCCTCCCTCCCTGCCTTTCTCTCTTCCTCTTTCTTTCTCTTCCAAGCTAACTCACAATGTAGTTGAGGATGACCTTGAATTCTTGATTCTCCTGGCTGGGATTATAGGAATGAGCCACCATCACTGGTTTATGCCATTGTTCTGTTGCTGTGATCAGAAGCCAGTGAAGACAGTAAATCTTATAAAACAAAGCATTTAACTGGACACTTGCTTACAGTTTCAGAACCTTAGTCCATTATCAGCATGGCAGGCAGCATGGTGACACAGCCTGGTGGATGTTCAGACTAGAACCTGAACTCAGGTCCTCAGCAACAGCAGCCAGTGCTTTTAACTGCTGAGCCATCTCACCAGCCCCACATTGTACTTTTTAAATAACATATTTGATTCATTGGGTTTTTTTCTTCCCACTGCTGTTTGTTCTTATTTGCATATACTACAGAATTTTAGCATTTTATTGTATTTAAATTTAAAGAAAACTCATCTTAGAAAATTGAAATTATTCAACCAGTGGAAGAAAGCTCCCAGCTAACAATTTTTTTTAAAGAAACTACATTTTATTTTTAACACTGTCTAAAAATATCACTAGGCTTTAAAAATATTTTCCCCTTTTTCCCCAAATGGTGCCAGCTGTGCAATTTTGCTTCCAGCCAGAATATTGCTTTCAACTTCCACTGAGTGATTTTTTTCCTGCATTAATCAGGCTATTTTGGATGACATTTGCCATAGCCTGAGAGAAATACTGAGACATGATTATGTATGAACAGACATAAAATTACTACACACGATTATATACGTGATCAACAAATTGAAATCATTTTGGATTTTTTTTTCTTAAAGTTTTTATTTAAAATCTCTTTCAATTTTGTATTCTATTCTATGGTCTTTAAGAGAAAAGGGGAGGGGGTTATCCCTCTTGTCCTGTATGATATTTGTAGCCACTGCCCTAAATACCAATTGTCTCCCTGAGAAGAACAGCGTGAGGACAGCTGAATGGAAGAAAAACCCAACACTGCCTCAGAGCTGACCACCCATTGAGAATCTCTAGGATTCCCCCTCTGTATGTGGGAGTGACTTCTCTAGCAGTGAGCCATCTGCTTCTTACCAGCTTCCATTCAAGTGCTCATTGTTTCAGCTGATTGACTTGTTCTACCCTCAGTCTCCTTACCTCATCTCTCACCATCCCTCTCATTCAGAGACAGCTAGCCACACAGATCAACTCCTCCTGGCCCCTCCTCTCCAGGCTCCCTCCCAGAAGCTGGCCTAAGTACCCTAGACACCATCCCTTCCACATACCCAGTATCCTGAAAGCTAGGAAGGAAGGGAAAGGAGGGAAGGTCAGAAGCACTCAAGGTTCATTTGAATTAAAAAAAAAAAAAAAGACAGGCAGAATGAACTGATCATTAAACAAGGCCTGAGAATTTCAAACTCTAACCCCAGCAGCATAGCCTCTGAAATTTGATGGCTTACATGGCTGTTTTCTATTGCTCAGTGCAGCATTTGGATATTACACTTGACTTTTATTTGGGTTAGTGGTTTTTGTTTGAGTTCTGACTTACTGAGGCTTGATTAAAACAGGCTGTTAGGGAGTCCTGCTCAACTATGTCTGGGAATGCATTGACCTACACTCAAGCATTTGGAGTCTCTGAAATATGCTCCCTCCTACTCTCTTCCCACTCACCCTCTTTTGTGTCTCTGTCTTTCTCTTTCTCTCCTCACAGCTACTCTGTCTCACTTGGTAGAGAGTTTATTTAAAAAAAAAAATTCTATACGACTGTGGTGGTTTGAATGAGAATGGCCCTCATTGGTTCATATGTTTGAATGCTTGGACCCCAGCTGGTGAAACTGTTTGAGAAGGATTAGGTAGTATGGTCTTCTTGGAGTAGGTGTGACCCTGCTGGAGGAGATGTGTCACTGTGGGTAGGCTTTGAGGTTTCAAAAGCCCATACCAGGCAGGCAGGCAGGCAGGAAGGCAGGCAGTCTGTCTCTCCAACTTTCTCTCTCCCTCTTCTCCTACCCCTCCGCCTCTATCTATCTATCTATCTATCTATCTATCTATCTATCTATCTATCTATCT